AAATAATAAATTTGTTGAATCAAAACCAGGACCAATTAAACATTTCAGAAATACAAGTGATTATCATATCAAATTTGATATAATCAAAATGATTATAATGGCCATCATATCTCAATGAGAAGCTTGTTCCTGATAACCTGACCTGTGATGATCTTATTACCTAAATTATATGAACAGGATGGCCAGATTCCATTTCCTGAGCACAAATCCTGCATGACTTTATATCAATCTCAATTCTTTGAATTGTACTCAGAAGTCTACAGACAACTATTGCAGTGGCCATAATGTAAATTCAAGTATTTTCATAAAACTGGTTAGGTACAACCAGATTCCTATTGTTTACCGCTATAGACTAATCTAGTTCTCCCTCTTACATAATTCAATATACTTTGTATATTGCATATTTACCCTGTAGATAAGAAAATGCTACAGAAATGCTAATATAAAGCTAGTGAGAAACATTTGCTATTCAGTCATGGTTTGTACATAGCACTGAATTTCAAAGATTCTGAGCAATTTACAGTATAGTCAATAAGATAAATGAAAGTGATACAGAACACTAGAAATCATTTTTTCTCTATGGAAAAAAGATGCCTATAAATGCATATAGAAAAAAACGTTACAAAAAATGAGAACAAGAGAAAAAAATGCTGCATAAGATGTATTTAAAGTAAAATATAGCTTTTATGAATAGAATGCAATAATTAAACTTCAAAGAGGCAGAAGTGTGATTTTGATGAAGAGTAAAAAAATGCTAATTAGTTACTAAATAAGGAACCTACAATAGAATGGAACAGATCTGATTTGGAATGAAAGTGAATCGATGGAATGCTGGAAGAAATTTTGGAGCTTTCTATTATATCAATTGTTAATATGTTTAATACTAGTTTCAAAGAAAAAAAAAAGAAAAATCCTAAATGCTGTGAAAATGTTTTTGTTAAATTATCAAAGACCAAAGAACAGCAAAACTGCAATATAAACCAAGAAAAAATAACACATTAGGAAAATGGAATTGACAAACGATAAAACACTAATAATATTATACATAGTAAAAATGTTAAAAATGGAAAAGTGGCAAATGTAGATAGTAAAATTGGAGATATGCTAATATGTGAACATGGTTTGTTCAGGGAGTAGCTGGGCAATTGTTTAACATGTGTATGAAGACTGCAATTTTTTTAGCATAAATTTGAAAGAGAATAAAAAATAATGAGAAAAAATTGGGAAGAACAAAATTATTATGCTTTATCCAAGATAGGATGCTTTCCAAACATGTAGTTTATAATTTTTATAATCCCTTATTGCTGACTCATTTGGGTGGAATTTACAAAAAATACAATTTAAGTGTCTAGAAAAGTCAGGTGTTATTTACCCACTAAGTACAACTGTTCAATGAAGGAATACAAATTAAAGAAAAAACTGATAATCCACATTCTAGTGAAGAGGAGCTCACCATTATTTTGCATTAATATAAATGTGAAATTCTTGGTGCTCTCCAAGTTTGGTTGCTTGCTTGTAGATGTTTTCATTATCCACTGATAACATAATCTATGTAAGCAAAGAATCAAGCTTAGAGAGTATAAAGAACTTTATTGGCCAATCATGGAATAGAATGAATATAAAATGCTTCTTTAAGACTGGAGTATTCTTTCCCTTTGGTGATAAAATGTTGATATTTTATTGAAAGAGAATATTTTGTGGACAAATAGCATTACATCCATTCAGGGCAACTGACATCAAATATCAATAAAGAATAATATTTGTTTCTCAGGGTTGAAATGAGGGATTCTTGGTGCTCTCTGACCTCTAACATCAAATATGCCTGAGGGAGGGCGTCAAACACTTTGTATGTAAAAAGTCCCTGTGCACCTTCGAGAAAATCCACCGACCTCGAATGCCTTTTTAAATCTCCTGCTCATTTCCTTTGACCATTAGTTGGTCAGATTTTTGTAGAAAGCTTTTAAGCTTGCAATAAATCTTTATACTCATTTGAACTGCCTGAATTTCCTGATTTCCCTGGTGTTTGACACCTACCTGATTTATTCCCCAATTTGCAGGAATTAACAGATTCACTTTATCACAATGTTTTTTGACTTCCCAATCTTGCAACAATATTCTCTGGAAGTCTACTTCTTCCATCTGCTAAGGTATCAATGAATTATATTATAACTGACTCTAAAACATCAGCAACTACCCACATTTACAATACACCATGTCTTCAGAGTGGGAGAACATTTGGCTCTCATTTAAAAGGCAAAAGGACTTAGAAATACTGGCAGTTCTTGGACTTTGGTTAAATATATTTATTTATTCTATATATATAAAAGCGAAATACCACTCATGCATCATCACAGAATCTCCAAAACTGTACGCCTACAAACTTGAAATTTGGTATGTTAAGTTCCTCTTGGCTTCTAGGTGCTCACTAAGAAAGGATTTTTCGAATGATCATCAGAGCATTAGTATTTGGTATATTATTATTAACACGCTCTGATGCTAAGGAGTTCTACTCCCCCTCCCCATCTGAAAAGAAATCAGTTCCAAATGCAAAACGCAAGCAGAGGAGAGGAGTTTCAGTTTTAGTTTCAGAGCACTAAGCAGCTTTAGTACAGAACAGTTAAGCTAAGCCACATCCAGGTTCCTTGCTGTCTCCTTCTTGCTCAAACAGCAAATACTGTTTCAGTTTCCAAACATCCCTCAACTCTCTCACACACTGCTAGGACACTTAGCCAGATGAATACTGATGGATGCTGGTAGGTAGAGGCAGAATTTCCCCCCCTTATTTTCCTCCCCAAAGCTAAGCCCAACCACATAGTTTCATAACAAAGCATGTGTATCTAGCTTTTATATATATTTTATATATATATAAAACATAAAACAGACCATGATTTGGTCTAAACATTTTAATAACCCATTAACCACTGGGTAGCACAATGTTTTATAATACTGGTGTGATAAACCCTAATAGTTACTCTATAACTGGGTTCTCATAGCATGCTAAACCAAGGTATAGCTATATGCAGCCTGCTACACCTTTGTGTTCCCCCAAAAACCTTCCTGAAGTATATACTTCTCTTCTGCCTACTGCTTTCCCTTTCCCTTGGTTTTTACAGAGCATTTTCCTTCTAGAATCCTGTTTTCCCCTCCCATCTGCAGGTCTATTTTTTTCATTGCCTACCTAATACTTTGATGTTTCTTGTGGAATTTTCCACTCTTGTATCTTTGTGTATTTCTTTCCTCTTTCTGACTTTCCATATTTTTTATTGTCTGATTTTTCAGTTGGTTCCCATGTTTTCATTATATACAAAATTATACTTTTCTCCTTCCTATCCATTCTGGGTTTCTTCTAGCTATAGATTCAAATTGCTTTACTTCTCCCCCTTTTCTTGTTTTAAACCACTCCACATATTTTTTCCTATTACAAGAGCTATCCTTGTCCCTCTTTTCCCAATCTTTTTTCTGCCATCTCTCTCCTCAGCACTGAGGAGCCCTTGCTTCCTCAATGTATAATCTCAGTCCCATGTCATCATCTACTGGAGGCCAAACAAACTACAGCATTTTATTTTTTTTACTTTGCAAAAGGAGTAAAGATGGAGAGCGGTCTAACAGTATTTATATATTGAAAACAAAACAATTATATACAGCATGTTTAAAAAATACAAATATCCCTTCTCACTTTGGAAGTGCAACTCTCAAGAAGTCACGAAGCATTTAACGTGTTATTTGAACCAAGACAAATTGCATACTCTTTAAATAGGACAAATTGGGGTTAGTTTGTTCTGTTTATTTTATTAAGGCAACAAGTGAGCAAGTTGTGTATATTTATGAAATTAGAGTATCTCAATACCCAATTTGTATTAAATACACACTAGTGTGTGGGACAAAACCAACCTGTGATTGGAAGATTGGAGCGAAAGTAAAATTAGAGGCTTCCCTTTTCTGGACATAACAGATGAGGTTTCCAGCCCTAATAGAAATTTTGGCTCATAATATGATGGAATTCGAGAAGAGTGAAAAATAAAAACATCAGCAGAACCACCTGAAATACCAGGTGACATAGGACCCACACTAATTAAAAGGTTGCAAGTTATCTCAAGCTTAGAAAACCAGGACCCTATGTTAACCCATCAAGACCTAAAGGCTTCTAAACATGTGAATTCATATATTTACATATAGATAAATAGCAGAATACTCCTGCGGCAAAACGATGCATCTAATGGGGCAGTTCTAGAAGTAGCAGTAAAAGAGGGAGGGGAAAAAAGGCGGTGGAGTGTGTGGCCTCTCTAAAGTGGACAGGGTGTGCCTGAGAAGACCACGAAGCAAAACTTGTGCTTTAAACACAACACACGTCCCAAACAGTCACAGGTGCAAGAGACAGAAATAGGTGTGTCACAAAGTAGAGAGCACAAATTAGGAACGCACGGTTTTGCTGGTAATCTTAAGTGAAAGCGTATCAGACAAGCAAGCATCTGGCTTTTTTAAACACTATCAGCATAAAGAAAGGCTTGTTGCATGCCTCAGGGTAAAAATCAAGGCTTCCCCGTTGCGGTCTGGACCCGAGGTCGCATCTTCTGCAACTCAACAGAGTTCATTCATGTCAAGCCTAGAAACTCAACGGCCCTAAAAGCGTTTCTGAAGATTATTCCCCGCCCCCAACGGTATGAAAGCGGGCACTCCTTGGTCTGGAAGGCGTTAAACGGAGAAGCCGCGTCTGGGCAGCCGGGAACGACGTCGCGGGCGGCTGAGAGAAGCGCCCTCTTTCCCACCGACCCCCGCCTAACCCGGGAAGCGAGCCGAAACATGCCGGCTGCAGAAGTGTAAAAGCCCGGGGCGGGCGGGGAAAAAAGCGAAGCACCGAGCGGCGCCTCAGCCTTCCTCGGGGATCCCGACCAGCGCCAAAGGGCCTTGCGGAGCCTCTCGCCCAGCCGGCAAAAGCAGACGCTCGACCACCCGCCAAAGCCCCCAAGCCCCCACCTCTTGCCCGCGGCTCCTTCGCTCACCTGCCGAATAAGGAAGGGCGAGCGGGAGCCGGAGAAGAGGCAGCAAAAAGGCAGCAACGGTTGGGCCAATCGCCGTCCGGCTCCCGACTTTCCTCCGACGCTTCGGCTGCTCTCATTCAGCACCGGGAGCAGCTTAACGGAGGGAGGGGAGGAATCTCTCCCTCCACACACACACACACACGCGCGCGCGCCGCTCAGGACGGCAAAGGGGAGAAAAGGCAAGAAGGAAGGGCGCATGCGCCCACCATTCCCTTCTCCTGGAATTCGGCTTGCTGGGAGAAAAAAAGTGCGCAGGCGCCAACCGCTCGAGCTCCAATGCGAGTCAAGATAGGCCTAAATTCGAAGGTGAGAACGCGTGAGCGCCTTTGACCGCATTGCGGGGGGCAGGGCTCGATTGCCCATCGCTGAGACTTCCCTCTTGCCCACGCGCTGCTTCCCCACGCCCTTAATCCCCCTCCCCCCGTGGTTTGAAGAGGGGGTTAACGGCAAAGTCAAGTCGTTCTCGCTAGAGTTGGTCCCGCTCGAGGGGAAAACGCTCCAAATGAGAGGGGAGAGGGGGAGTAGCCGCGTGGAAGCGGCCGTTGTCTCCTATCCCCGGCACGCTCTGGCTGCCTGCCTGCCGTTATCTTCAAAGGACAAAGAACGGTTCCCCCCCCCTCTACCATTTGGTCTGTCTTTGAGGAATCAGCTCCCCTCGCTTCTTGCAATTTGGTCTCCTTGGGTGGCGGCGGGAAGATGGCAAACCGACGCGCACGTGCTCTTATGTGAGAGCCTCCAAAGGCGCTGTGGCCAATGCCTTTCACGGAAAGGGTCATTTCCCACATAATTTACACGTTTAAGCTAAAAAGCGCTCGCGTTGTACCTTATGACTATCCTTAAGGGTTGTACCTTATGATTCTTGACGAATGTACTGAGAGTATTTGCACCAAGACAAATTCCTTCTGTGTCCAACCACACTTGGCAGTAAAGAATTCTGTTCTGTTCTATTCTTCGCCGTATGTAAAATGTACTTGCAATGGAGAGGAAGGTTAAAAGACGTCCCACGGCATCGAGTGTCAAGAGTATTTAGCGCTGCGTTTTATTCAAGTACACGGGCTTTCTGAGCGCTGAAAGCCAGGGGCTGAAGTACTTGACCTGTTTATCCAGTACCACAACGCTACAAAGGCCCGCCTTCCTTCACCTGGCCAGGGAGAACCTGGGAACCTGGCCAGGGAGAACCTGGGAACCTCCCCCCGCCCCCCAGGATCCAATCCGCCCTATGCCTTGGAAGCTAAACTGGGCGCGTTTGCGGTTATATTCTTTCTCAGCCTTAAGTACCTTGCAGGGTAGTTGTTAGGGGATGAGGGAAACAATAAAATGCGTTCCTGAAGAAAGGTGGGATATAAACCTCTCAAACTACATAGCTGTCTAAAGTACTTGACTTATGGGTGTTGATTTCTTTCTAGAAATGTGGGACATGCAAATTATCGTTATCTTGCAGAAGGAAATAGCTGAGTTGCCAGATATGTTGGAATATATTAGACTTCTATATATTAGACTTGGATATATTAGACTTCTCTTACATAATGGCTGTAGTTAAAAGGACAAATACCACTGCATATAATCATAATTATTATAAAGCCATCAGTCCTTGCCAATTGCACTGGATCACCATTCAAATAGAGTAATTATTCTGCCTACCCCCTGAATTCTAGCGGTTTATCTGCTAAGTTCCTAATACAAATACATCTGTCCTCTTGTTTAAATCCTTACCATATGCTTTCTTATACACTTTAACCCTTGATAGTAATTAATCAGCTACAGTGGAAGACACCTGTTCTTTTTCATTTCCTTTTAACTATGGTTGCTTGTTAAAAGTCCTGCTTTAGTAAGTTCAAATACACCCTAAAATTAATAATTCTTATGTAACCTAACTCATGAATGTTTATTCTGCAATAACCATATAAAGATTATTTTTAGATGGCTTATGCAAATGACAGAATTAGAGGTATATTTATTGGATAGCTGAAGGACATAATTAGAACCAGAGAGTATGTTTATCCTCAGCTTTGGACTATTTTGTGTCTGTCTTCTATATATATTACTCTGTGCTGTTCTTTAATCTGTTTTCTTCCAACTTTCTTTTGTTTTTAATCTGTCCTCCCATCCACTGAATTAATTCAATTTTAACATAACATTCAGATTTAATGTCTAGCTGTGTTTGATACAGCTTGACTTCTTCAATTTAGCTTTCAGGGTTTGTAAAATACTGAATGTAAATTCACATAAAGAACATGAAATATAGTTGCTTGGTTTGTAATTCTCATGTCATTTATATTGGATTTGATCACAATTAAATCTGTAAAGTACAATGAATAGCAGAAAGCACCAGTAGGAAAATATAATTTAGATTTTATATGTCTTTAAGAGGATGGCTACAACCTATGAATCATTTTTCATAGAACTGAAAATCTCCATTGATATTTTGGAAGAAAAATCCATCTGGTTCAGTTCCAAACTGGGAGACAGGCACTGGAAACAAAATGGAGGCTGATTGGAAACGGGGTCCATTTATTGATGAAGCAGAACCACCAGGTTTGTTGTTCTGGTGCAGCTGACAAATGGAATTGAGAGAGGGTGGTTTTTATACTTTCTGTGGGCTTTGTATTTGAGCTTCCTGTTCCTGTGCAAGAACATGTCCTTTCTTATTCTATTGGCTGTTGTCAGATTCCTATGGGGTCATGTAGGGGTTATGTAGCGGTCATAACTGGTTCTATGGGCAAAAAAGGAAACACAAATCCTAGGTATTTGAGCTAATTTTGTCAACCCTTTGTTTGTTGCTTATCTTATTTTCTGTCTTGACGCAGTCCCTGGGCTGGGGATTAAGAGTCTTTAAAATTATAGAAAGTTAGAAACCCTATTTTCTGATTACCAAAACAGAAAACCTTCCAGAAATAGTTTTCCAAGTCCTATAGGTAGAAAGTCCCCAGATTCAACCTGCAATCACACCTTAGTCTATAGAAAGGTATAGAGGCTTCCCTTTATATGAAAGACTAACTGTTCAGGATTTATCCAATAGATTCTAGATCCAGATCCAATAGAAGAGAATATATGGAGCTCAGGATTGAACTGTGGAGTCCTTGATGCTATCTGAGCTTGGTTGCTAGTTTGCCAGATTAGGTAACATTTTCAGTGCTAGGCAAAAAGATCTTAACAAAGATCTTGGCATTGGGAAGGATATCAGCAATGAAGAAGGGGAAACTTGATATAGCTGAATTATTAAATTGAAACCAAAATGGACAACATCAATCTCATTAAATGTAAATGGACTCAATTTGCCTAATGAAAGATTTTAACAAGCTCTAAATACATAACATAAAACTGATGCTTGCTTTTAACAACTGTATATAAAGCAAGGCTGTTGATTTGTTAAATTAAAAAAAAAACAAGTTGGGAATATATGGCATCAGGATAAGTAAAGAAAAATAGAATAGTAGTTATTAAATCATCTTCCTGGAAAGTATTGGAGCAATTAAAGAAGAATTTTATTACTGAAACTAAGAAATAAAAGTAAAGTTTTAACTTTAGAATCCTGTTATTCTCCAAATAAAGATGACAATAAAGCCATTTTGAGAATTCAAAGAAATTAGGGAAACTTGATGCATTAACTCGGAAAAGATAACAAGAGAAGGATAGTAACATTGATAAATGAAATAAATTGTTATATATAAGATGGAAATAATAGAAAAAATAGATTTTCCCCAAGAATTCTAATCGTAAAATGAACAGGGAAAAATTGAAAGCATGCATTAAAGAGTCAGAAGTTAAAGAATTCACAGGAAAATAAATACTAAGCAACAAACCCTATTATAATTCAAGCAAATAAAGAAGTGATAGAGACTTAAAACTGGGAAGGTGCCAAATGCAGATGGACTTACAGCCAAATGTTAGAAAAATTTAGAAAACACATATAAAACTTTATGCTTTAAAAAGGAATGAACTGAAGAAACCTCAATCACATGTTTCTTAGTTGAAATTTGATTCTAAGATATTCGCTGTAGCTGTACATGTAATGAAATACTTCCCCAAATTATACCCAGAGAGTAGATAGATTACATTCCAAAAAGAGAGATGATGGATAATGGCATCTAATGCATTTAATATTAGAATTCATTAGTAAGAAAATAAATTAGTAATAATATTTTTAGGCATGGAAAAAGCCTTTGATAATTTGGAATAGAGCTTTCTAAACGTCATGACATGGATAAAACAGAAATACACATTAAAAAGAATGAGGCAGTGGAACAATGTGCTCAGCAACTCCCAAGATACTTTGAGAAAGCCATTGCTTTTCCCCTTTCACTTAATTTTTTTAAAAAATGATCAAACTTAGATTTCATATTGTAACTGAATACGGCAGAGCATGTCACATTGGATAAGAGCTGTGTGTCTTCAGAATTAGCACTAAACTTTAGCATCAAAAGTGTAAGAAATGACAACCTTAAGCCAAAATCCACTTTATTTGCAATATTTTTCTGAAGAGTTCTCCAGATTAACCAACCAACAAAAAACCCTCTACTGATTTAAAAGCTAGGAGACTTGTTAAAAAGATTTAAGAACAAATCAAGATTCCAATAGCAACCTTTGCATATACTGGAGTAAACAAGCAAACAAATTTAATCAAAAGTTATATGCCAAGTCATATAACTCACGATTTACAATACAGTAGTAAGATAGAACAATGCACAGTAATAAAATATATTACTTTTGTGTGTAATTAACAGATGGGCTCAATAAAGACCAGTGCTTAAATTCTGATATTCAGGTATAATTGCTCTAGAAAACTGGGAGCATAAATATGCTGCAGTCTTTGCCAAATAATAAACTACTAAAACTCTGATAAGCACCTGTGGAAAATTAGGGCTCAATCTATCAACATTGCCATACTGTATAAAACAGTATTACTACTGTATATTCTGTCATGTTGCTACTTGCCTGAGGCTTACTGTCACAATATTCTTAAAAGGACATCCCCATCAGGAAGCCTGAGAAGAACTGTCATTGTCTTAAGCTAATAATGTGGAATTCATATTTCTTAAAGATCTGAAAGTTATTTCTATCTAATGATTAAACTCTGTAATGACATTATCCAAAAATAATCATGATGCAGCATGTTATTAAAATAG